AGCTGGAATGATACAGGTCATTCTTGAACTTTAATCAAAAAAACCAGCCAAATACTAACTTGCCTTCACACACTGTGTTCAAATAATTTTCTTTGCTCTACTCCCTGACTGGCTAACTTTTATTCACCCTATCATCATTTATAAATTCTGAACTGAATATTCCTCTTCGGTCTGCCTCCTACTACCCTACATTTAGCACAGTGCACTGAACTTCCTTTAACACATTTCTAAACAACTCATCCTCTATGTCCATGCTTTTTCAGTTATAAATTTTAAAGGAGCTTTTTCTCAATCTTTTACATCTTGCCTTCTCTAGCACCTGCCAGAGTGCATAGGCACTGTTTCTTAAACTGACCCTTGTAAAATTAACTAATGACTCCTACTTTGTTGTAGATCCAGTTCTTCCATACTTGAATCCTAAGCTCTAGCCATTTAAATTCTCTAGACATTTGTGTACTTAAGTTACTCTTTCAGCCTAAATGCTGTTTCGTTTTTAATGAAGTCTTATCTAGAAAGGGCCAGGTTAAATATATGATTCTTCTAAAATCTTCATCAAATTTCCCCATAAGGTCAACACGGAATCTAAACACTGAATTTGATTTGATTCTCATCCCATTTGGTTTGTTACCAGCACTGTGGAAAGAATTAAGATTGTGAACCAAGGCACCATTGTAAATGTAATCCACTGCAAAATAGAAAAACGAAACAATAACTGAACTTGTCTTTTTCAAAACATAGCTGAAGAATGTATTTATTATGTTATTTAAGGTTATTCATGTAATGACTTATGTGAAAAATTACTTCTTGAATACAGTCACAGTAAAACAGAGGAGTCCCAAACTTCTTCCCTTGCCTTGGATGGATTTCCTGCAGAAGGCAAAGCTGTATGATACTAACAGAAACCCCCAACTATTAGTCTCCAGAGGATTTCCACAAAGGAAGAAAGCCCTCAAGAAGGTTAAGTTCAAAGCAAAAAATTACAAAATACATGAATAAATCACCTACCCTATGCAGGAGTCTGAGGAAACATCAAAGAAAGAGATCAGCATCTCCAAGTACAGAGAAGATAGAGCAAAAGTGTCATCCAAACAGAGATTTAAGAGTGATTAAAAGAAAAAAAAGGCCAGAAATCATAAAAACAAAATGCGAGCAAAAAAAGGTAGTTTTGGAACAAACAGGAGTCTAAAAATAAAAAATACAGTCTTTAAAAACTAAATATTCAACTGGATAGTGCTGAACACTTGTAATCCCAGCTACAAAGGAAGCTGAGGCAGGAGGATCCCAATTTTAAGACCAGTGTGGGCAACACAGAAAGACCCTATATTAAAAATAAATTAGAATTCTCTTCATGGATTAAGTAACAATTCTGTAGGACAGATGAAGAGACACCTATAATCTTTACAGCAGTTGTCAGCATACGGAACTGGAGGTGAACAGAAGATGAGGAAGAGACTACTATTAGCCATTATAGGTTCTACATTTGTTGTTCAACATATTCATCACTCTGAGACACATTATGCTTATGTGTTTTACAGAAATGAATTGAAGACACTATTCTATGTCACTTAATGCATTATATAAAAGAAATCATGCAAGAAAGGATTTCTTAAATTCACTTACAGGAATATGGGAATCCAAAGCTTCTTTTTTTTGACTTAGTTGTAGGAAATGAAGAATAATTTTACTGGCCTACAGTACAGTCTCAGTACAAATATATCTTTATTCTCATTTTAAGGTAATTTTTATTGTTTTTTTCTTTATGTATTTTACATTTTTTTAATCCCTTGAAATTCTTTTTGAAAGATAGTGGGAGTAGATCTCTAACATTATGTTAAAAATTATGGAAAAATATTCCAAAAGGGATTCTGGTAACTTAGGTACTTATATAGATTTAAATCTTCCTCTAACATGTGTATTTTCTTCTGGAGATTTGAATTAGAGATTCATAAATAGGTGTTAGAATTTGCCTTTCATAAAATGCCTACCTGTGGAGTTGCTCTGTGAAGACACAGTAAAGGTAGGCCTGGAATACAGTCCCAGAGGCCCTTGAGCTCCTGAAAACTGCTGTGCAGTGAAGCCCCATTGAAGATCCTGGCCACAAGACACGAGTCACAACTCTACTCCCGAAATCTAGGAGGCTGTATCTATTTTTAAAAAAATTGTTGATTCTTTTTTAAAAAATTGCTAACTTTATAAACCTATATTTAATATAAAGGTAAGTCAGTGATAAAGGAAACAAAAACATGCAAAACTCAGACTACTGTTATTTCAGTTATAATTAATAGCATTTTGGCTGCTTCTCCTTAAATTCAAGTAAAAATAGCATAAGCATATCCACTGAAAATCTAGTAACAGCTCTAAAATTACTAAATCTTAAAAAAAACAACTAGATAAAAATCATGCTATCACATTTTATTTTCTTACATTGTCGAGACAAGGCAAATGTTAACATCTTGTGTGCTGTTGAACTCTTTCACGATCCTGAGTCTCTCCTCTGACTTTGTACTTCCATCAAGTCGCCGGTAATCGAGCCCTGATGCCATACAGTACTGCTGCAGCACATCGAGCAACTGGAAGGCAGGCAGGAGGATGGGCAAACACACACTTTTGTAAGTTTGTAAGTTTCACTGTATTATAGAGATTGGATTTTCCAAGCATTAATTAGTGGTATTCAGGGTTTCTTTCTTAAAATTCCCTTAGCAATTAAGTATTTGGGGGCTGGGGTTGAACCTCAAGTGATAGAGCACTTGGCTAGCATACACAGGCCTGGGTTTGATCACCAGCACCACAAAATATACAATAAATATTTTTCATGCTTCTGTCCCCCAATTCTCTTCATCATTTTGAAACTTGCTTTAACATTTAAAAACCACTGATTTTTTTTTTTTATATCTACTTTTTCTTAAAAAATTAAACCAAGTAAAGAGAAAATAACCAGTCAACTATTTATAAAAATGTGTTTTACTAAGCGGGCTATTTTTTTAATCCTAAAATATCTTTTAAATATGATTTTGGTACAGGGTCTTGCTACGGAGTTCAGACTCCTAGTGATCCTCCTGTTTTCAGCCTCCCCATCTGTGGGATTAGAGACCTGTGCCACCACACCTGGACTCAGTCCCTGGCTCAGCATGCCTGGGGATGGGGCAGCCACAGTATGTGGTGCGCCAGGGAATCAACCCATCACTGGGCTTGCCTAAGCAGGCACTTAGTCTACTGAACTATCTTACTGGCCCAATCCTAAAATATCTTACAGAGCACCTTAATTACTAACAAGAACACCAACAAGTCTTTGTTTGCTATTTGACAGTAATTTTCAGAGATAACTGATATTTAAGTGTCTGTGAAAATTCTGAGTTGCTTACCTATCACTTAATACCATGTGATTAAGACAGAAACTGTGGCTATAAATTGCTATGTTCTTTATACTTTATGCCTCAGAAGTCAGGGCTAGATCAGTTAAGAATGCACCCCAGGGCCAGAGAGATAGCTCAGGGGACTATGCACTTAAGCAAGTGCAGGGAGCAGGGTTTGATCCCAGCACCATATGTCAAGCCGGCTCCATCGCCGGGCCTGCTGAGCCAGCCACTGAGGCCAGGTGTGGTAGCGCATGCCTGTAATCCCAGCACTGGAGAGGCTGAAAACAGGAGGATCACTATGAGTCTGAGCTATATAGTGAGACCCTGTACCAAATACATTTTTTTAAAAAAATGCACCTCAGATAAAACTCACCTTGGTTGAAAAGGAGAAGAGAAGAACCTTATCTTTGTTTTTCCTGAAATGATTTAAAAGCTGTTGAAGGACCTGGAAGTAAACTACAGATGATCAGTGAACCAGTTCCAACTAGAAGTAGGCTTCTACATATAAACATCACTTGAGAATTTCTTTAAAATAATTTTTCACTAATGCTAACAGTCATCTTTACTAATTTTTTTTACTTTTTCCAAATTAAAGAAATAAAGCGGGGCCCGGGAGATGGCTCAGTAGGATAAGCGCCTGACTGGCAAACACAAGGATCTGAGTTCAATCCCCGGTTCTGCAAAAAAAAAAAAAAAAAAAAAAAGATGGAGAGATGGCTCAGTGGTCTAAAGCACCTACTTGAAACAAGCTTGGCCAAGCACAGGGACCGCGGTTCAATCCCCAGCACCACATGCCAGCCAGCCCCGCCCCCTGGTGGGCTGAGCTGGCCACACACACACACAATAAATAAATGTAATAAATAAAAATAAATATTTAAAAAAAAAAAGAAAGAAATAAACCATTAGGTATTACATTAAATGTTATTCTTTATCATATTATCAATGAGAAGGTTAAGTTCCTAAAGACTTATTTCATCTCATCTGATTTTAATAAAAAGGAAGCAAAATAGGATGCATTTAAAGAGATTAATTTCCAAAATATGTTTTCTTTACATCTACAATACATTAAGAAACTAGAGAGCAGCATACCTTTTAGGAAGTATTTAAATTGTCTCCAGATAGATGTAATGTGTCCAATTACATGTATGTTCTAAAAGTCCTGATATTTATTTTCTTAGAATAATCAGTCAGATATACACCTCTTCTCATTTTATCCCCTTTGTTTCTATATTTATAGTAAGCCCTGACTTCCAGATTGGATTTTGACCTCAAAATGCCAATAATTTGGCCCCACACACAGTGCTATTAGCAAGCAGGCAAACAGTCCAAGCCTTGTATATAACAGAAATACTGTTATTTTTAAACAGGCATTTCCACATCTGGCAATGACAGCTCCAGAACACTGTGGAAAAGCAATCCACTGAGGAAAAAAGGAATTTTCTGTATTAAGTCTAACTGAAATGACCATTTAAAGCAATTTTATTTAATCAATGATAAACAATGAAACTTGTTTTGTTGACACAAGTTCTCAATATGTATTTTAGGCTGGCCTTGAACTCATGGTGATCCTCCTACTTTAGCCTCTCAAGTTCTGAGACTATATGTGTGTGCCACCATGCCTGGTCTTAAACACTTAAATTTCTAACTAAAAAACTATATCCAATATAACACTCTCCTAATAATTGAGCAAGTGAAGACCTATGCTAAGCTTGACTCTTCCCCTTAATCCCTCAAAAGAAGCTCTGGAGCTTTTGGGGTTTTTGTTTTGTTTTGTTTTGTTATAAGCAGAATATGTTTATTGGGGGAAAGAAAACCTCTGTCTGAGAGAGGGACAAAAGGGGGACCCCAAGTGGGTGGTCCCAAGCTATGGTTTTTGAATCTCCTTAGGTAAACCAATCACATGACAAAATGTCAAAACTCAGATCAATATTTTAATACCTAGAAAACATGTAAGTTCTATATGCATTTGCTTTTACATTTTAATGAAATAATTTGTGTCTTAGTTACTTTTGTTGTTGCTGAAACAAAAATACCTGGCACCCAAAGTTAAGGGAGGAATGATTTATTTGGCTCAGAGTTTGTAAGGTTTCAGTCTATAGTCATCTGGCTCCAAGGGAGGGTGGCACAGCACAGAGGCATCACAGAGGAGAAACAGTTATTATTACTATTATTTTGTATTTTAGGGAAGGGTCTATAGGGTGTTCAGGGTCTCACGACTTGATCGGACTTGCAGTGATCCACCTGTTTACAGCCTCCCAAGAGCTGGGATTACAGGCACGAACCACCACGCCCAGTCTCAATTGCTGTCTCAGTGCACCCCAGGAGCAGGGCCAGCAGGGCAGGCCCGGGGATTGAACCCCCAGCCCCTGCACCTGCTTGCAGGTGCTTTAATCCGCTGAGGTATTTGGCTGGCATGGAGAAAGTTTTTGGCAAGCAGAAGACAGCAAAAGCAAGCAAGCAACAACAACTTCTCTTTGCCCTTTTATATTCTATGTAGGCTACCCCAGCATCACACAATCTAGATCCAGCCACCTCTGAAAAAGTGGCACCTATAACTGCATGAGGCTTTGAGATGACAAGCAGATACAACCATAACAACTGGTTCAGTGGAGTATATGCATTTGAATTTCACTTAAGACAGTAACTTTTTAACTGATAAGACTTTAAAGAAGAACTGAGTAGGAACTACAGAAAAGTTCCATATATTCACTTTCCTGCCTCACTTCTACCCCTTTCTTCTATTAATATCTATAAAATTAATATTAAAAAAAGAAACACTACTTTAATAAAAACTGATAAAGAATATTGGTATATTATGGTTAACTACAGTTCAGAGTTTACAATAGAGTTCATTCACTGTGTTATATAGTTCTCTGGGTTTCAATAAATATAACTTGACATGTACTCATAAGAGCAGCACTATACAGAATAGTTTCACTGCTTTAAAAAGTTC